AGTCCATGTCACAGCCCTGTTCAAAACCTCCAATGGCTTCCTATCACCTGGAATAAAGGCTGTTGTCTAGCAGGGCTGAATGAGATCTGGCCCCAGCCTCATCTCTTGGCTCCCTCCCTCCCTCTCTGCCGTCTCAGCCCCGCCTCCACCTCCTTTCACTGCCCCTCCAACACAGCAGGCTCTTTCTCACTTTAGAGCCTTGGCCCAGAACGCCCTTCCCAAGCTCACTGTGCAGACGTGTGGTCAGATGTCGCCTCCCCAGAGGAGCTGCCCCGGATTGCCTGCCCCACCCCCACCCACCACTCTACCCCATAATCTTCTGTTACCGTCTTCCTAGCACTTGTGACTCCCTTAAAACATCTATGTCTCAGGTTGAACCACCTGCCCCATAATACTTCCCTTTCTTCGCTCTGCTAGACTGGGTGCTGGGGGAGCGGACGGGGCGGGGGGTAGGGGGCCCATCTCTCTTGTTTCCCACTGTGTCTCCAGAGCCAAGACCCACCCAACACATGTAAGCCAATGAACACTCATCCATCCTCCATCAGACACATGAATAAATGAATGAGTGAATGTGTGACCAAAACAAATACAGACATGTTTCCCTCCAAGTGTACTTTCTGAGGGCCAGCTGAATGAGGACACGCAATGTGGTCCAAGCATCACTGTGTCCTTCAGAGTGAGTTAAGGGACATGGCCTCCCTAGCACCTCATCCCCCCACCCACCACCTGTCACAAGCCCAGGAGGTTTCCCTCCAAGAACTGATCTGTAAGAGCCCTTTGTGCACAGTGTGTAAACTCTGTCCAGAGGCAGCTACCAATGCTGCACCCCTGGGTTTCCAGGCCCAAGTTTCTCTGGCAGGGGTTCCCCCAGTCTCTCTCTCTCCTGAACAGCACCCTACCCCCCACCCACTCACATCCTTTCAGCAGCCGCCCCCCCCACCGCCCAGTACACCTATCCCCTGAAGCAGTCAGTCCTCTGTCACAACAGTGCAGAAAAACATGATCCCACCCCAGTCACCAGCCCTGCCCTAAAGGAATGACCCTCCAGGATGGCCCATGGGGAGACCCTTCCACCAGGATGGGGCTTGTCTGTGCAGTCCATCAAAGCAGGGGAGGTTGAGCAGAAAAGAAACCCCAGACACAGGATCTGCTAACTCCACCAGTGCTGGGGATCATGCAGGTGGAATCTCCTCCTGATCTTTAAGAGGTGTACTCTCCCATGTACAAGGCGACACTGAGTTCTCAAGGCCACTGTCACAGGCACTTTGGGACCTGAAAACATATCAGAACTCTATGAGAACTGAAAGACTGTTCAGCAAACAGCTGGTCCCTTCCAGAGTCTGTGGATGGCACTGAGGACCAAAAATCCAAATACTTATCTATCTGTCCCATTTTCAACTCCCAAAAGAGGACCCCACAATATTTATAGGTAATGAAACTGCAGGGCTTTTTTCATGGACTTAATCAACAAATATTTATCATGTGCCAGTCACCCGGGGGACTTGGAGTGCGTGGGGATCCAGCAGGGAGCCAGACACTCCTCAGTTCTGCTCTTGGCTTTTATTTGTCTGTTTAGAAAACAACAACGGTAACAATAGCAACTACTCGTGCTTATTGATGACAGACCCATGCCAGGTACTGTGCCAAGTGCGCCATGCACGTGATTTCAGCAGGCAGCCTGGATGGTTCCCAGTGGACAGACACGGAAAGGAGCTACATGGATGGGCACAGTGGCTCACGCTGTAATCCCAGCACTTTGGGAGGCTGAGGTGTGTGGATTGCTGGAGCCCAGGAGTTCAAGACCAACCTGGGCAACATGGTGAAGCCTCGTATCTACCAAAAGCACAAAAAATTAGGCATGATGGTGAGCACCTGTACTCCCAGCTACTCAGGAAGCTAAGGTGGGAGAGTCACCTGAGCCCAGGAAGTGGATGCTGCAGTGAGCCGTGATTGTACCACTGCACTCCAGCCTGGGTGATGGGCTGAGACCCTGTCTCAAAAAGAAAAGGAGCTGCAGCAGCAACAGTCTCACTCCCTTCCTCTCTCTTCCTCTCAAAATCATGCACCTTGAAGGCACAGTTCTCTGCCCCTGAGCCCTCCCTGATCAGGATGTTACCCTCACCACTGCACCCAAACTGCTCTCATTTGGGCCACCAGTGACCAACCAGATGCCAAATCTCGTGGTCAATGCATTTGTGTGATGCAGAGAAGCAGCAATGTTGCAGGAGCAAGGGACCATTATTTAACAGAAATATTACATCATGTCTGTGCACTCAACAGTCCAGGGAACACAGAAAGTGGCTACAGAAAAGATCGACCAATGACAAAGGGCTGATATCCAGAATTTACAAAGAACTCAAACAGATTTACATCATATGAAAAAATGCTCATCGTCACTGGTCATCAGAGAGATGCAAATCAAAACCACATTGAGATACCATCTCACGCCAGTTAGAATGGCGATCATTTAAAAATCTGGAGACAACAGATGCTGGAGAGGATGTGGAGAAAAAGGAACACTTATACACTGTTGGTGGGAGTGTAAATTAGTTCAACCATTGTGGAAGACAGTGTGGCAATTCCTCAAGGCCTTAGAAATAGAAATTCCATTTGACCCAGCAATCCCATTACTGGGTATATATCCAAAGGACTATAAATTGTTCTACTATAAGGACACATGTACACGAATGTTCATTGCAGCACTGTTTACAATAGCAAAGACCTGGAATCAACCCAAATGCCCATTGATAATAGACTGGATTGGAAAAATGTGGCACATATACACCATGGAATATTATGCAGCAATCAGAAATGATGAGTTCGTGTCGTTTGTAGGGACATGGATGAATCTGGAGAACGTCATCCTCAGCAAACTGACACAAGAACAGAAAATGAAACACCGCATATTCTCACTCATAGGTGGGTGATGAAAAATGAGAACACATGGACACAGAAAGGGGAGTACTAAACACTGGGGTCTACTGGGGGGAAAAGGGGAGGGCCAGTGGGAAGGGGAGGTGGGGAAGGATAGCCTGGGGAGAAATGCCAAATGTGGGTGAAGGGGAGAAGGAAAGAAAAGCACACTGCCATGTGTGTTCCTACGCAACTGTCTTACATGCTCTGCTCATGTACCCCAAAACCTAAAATCCAATAAAAAATTAAAAAAAAAAAGAAAAGAAAAGATCGACCAAGGCGCAACAGACCTGGGAAAGCCAGAGGTGAGAGGTGACCCATCTCACAATTTGGGAATTCCTTCCTCTGCAGTGCTGAGCTCATTACACTTGAGGTCAACAATTCTAGTTTCTTCAACATCTGCATGAGGATATTCCCACAATAGTATTGGTGATAGAAAAATAGTGGAAATGACAAAAATGTTCAATACAGGAAACTGGGTAAATAAACTAAGGAACAGCCACACAGCGAAGTACTATGCAGCCGTAAAGAAAAAGAAAGGTGATCTCTGCATGGAAGGGTTCCTAGAACATATTATTAAGTGAAACAAGCAAGGTGCGTAAAAGAATGTATCTCGTATACCATCTTTTATGCACGGAAAGAAAGGGAAATGAGTAGGTGTGTGTATGGACATTTTTGTAAAGAAACATAAGGACAAAATCAGAATTCATTGAAAATGGTTACCTGAGAGTGTATAGGTGGGAAAAAGCAGTGAGACATCCCCCCCCCGCCACTTTCTCTCTCCCCCACTCTCTCTCCAGGCTCTCACTCTGTTGCCAAGGCTTGAATGCAGTGGTACAATCATGGCTCACTGCAGCCTCAACTTCCCAGGCTCAAGTAATCCCTCCTGCCTCAGCCTCCCAAGCAGCTGGGACTACAGGTGCCTATCATTATGTCTGGTAATTTGTAGAGACAAGGTCCCACTATGTTTCCCAGGTTCATCTCAAACTCTTGGGCTCAAGTGATCCTCCTGCCTCAGTCCCTCAAAGTGCTGGGATGATTAGACTGAGCCATCACACCTGGCCAAGGCCTTTCAAGGTATGTCATTTTCACAGTTTTGACTTTTGAAGCACATAAATGCTTTGTATTTTTTAAAAGTAATATTAAACAAAAGTAAATGCAAACACATACCCAAAAACTAAATACAGACAGAAACAAATTATTTATACATCAAATGATGACATGACCACTAGAACAGGAAATAATTCAGTTAAGCTCTGAACACAGAATTCTGACTGTACACTCTTAGTGGATATATCATATACTTAGCACGTGTGTAGTGGACAGAGGTATTGATATCGTAATTCTGACACTATTTTATATGCAGTCAGAGTAAATAGCAAATATATTTTTGGAACCAAGGTTTGGAGATTGGAATAAAGAATGCTGACAGGTAAGGGAGAAACTTGTAGCATTGAACTAAAATTAGAGGTATCAGTGTGAACTCACTTTTTTTTTTTTTTTTTTGAGACAGACTCTTGCTCTGTCGCCCAGGCTGGAGTGCAGTGGCATGACCCCGGCTCACTGCAACCTCCACTTCCTGGGTTCAAGCAATTCTCCTGCCTCAGCCTCTCAAGTAGGTAGGACAATAGGTGTGCACCACCACACCTGGCTTTTTTGTATTTTTAGTATACAAAAAATGTGTGTATTTGGTGACACATTCACTCACACAATGTTGCTGGGGACCCGCTTCCCTCCTGCTGCCTCCCATCCAGAGCTGAAGGAGCTCAAGTTGAAAGTGGGTAGTGGAGGCGGGGGGACACAAAGTGCCAGTGCCCCAACAGGAGGGGAGCCTCAGGCAGCTCTGGAGATTGTGCCCAACCTCCTGCTGCCCAATGGCTGGGTGCTCTGTAGAAACAGTGAGGGGACAGAGGACCCTGAAGCCACAGCCCAGGGCCTGGGGGCACCGCCTGGGAGGTGTGCACTGCAGCTTTTAATGTCTTCCTAGGACCTGTGACCGATGTCACTATGCAGAGAATCCTGGTCCAGCCCCGGGTTGCTGCAGGGATATGGGGGGTGGGACAGAGCTGTCCCTGCTGGGGACTCACCCAAGAGCTTCTGCAGCACTTGGCCGTCATACAGGTCTTCTTCCAGCTGCTTCACAATGATCCTCTCCTCCACCAGCACATCGTTAATCCAGTTGAGGAGGACCTGCAGGAGATGGGGGTGTTACAGCCTCACTCGACCAGCACTGTGGGGATGCAGTAGTGAAAAGGGCAAGCACAGGGACAGGGACAGGGACAGAGGCTGCACAGCACTGTACCCACCACCAGGACCAGGCAAACACAGGGACAGAGGCTGCACAGCACTGCACCCACCCCCAGGACCAGGCAAACACAGGGACAGAGGCTGCACAGCACTGCACCCACCCCCAGGACCAGGGCAAACACAGGGACAGAGGCTGCACAGCACTGCACCCACCCCCAGGACCAGGGCAAACACAGGGACAGAGGCTGCACAGCACTGCACCCACCCCCAGGACCAGGGCAAACACAGGGACAGAGGCTGCACAGCACTGCACCCAACACCAGGACCAGGCAAACACAGGGACAGAGGCTGCACAGCACTGCACCCACCACCAGGACCAGGCAAACACAGGGACAGAGGCTGCACAGCACTGCACCCAACACCAGGACCAGGGCAAACACAGGGACAGAGGCTGCACAGCACTGCACCCACCACCAGGACCAGGCAAACACAGGGACAGAGGCTGCACAGCACTGCACCCACCACCAGGACCAGGGCAAACACAGGGACAGCTCTGTGGCCACCAGGACTAGAGTACCTGGTTTTCCAAAAGATTAAGCACTCGTAATACTGCACCCCCTCACCGTGAGACAGTCAAGTAGCCTACAAGATGTCCATTCCTCCCTGGTGACCCTCAGCCTCAACACACCCTAACCCAGGATGGGGATTTATGCATCATTGGTACCGAGAAGCTTGGAGCACCCACCCTCAGCTGCATTTCGTACCCACCCTTATTGAGATAGCATTTTCACTCCACACAATTCATCCTTTAAAAGTGTGTGATTCGGTGACTTTTAGTATATTCGCAAAACTGTGTGACCATCACCATGATCCATTTCAGAACATTTTCATCACCCTCAAAGGAAACCCATGCCTGTTAGCAGCCACTGTCCACATCTCCCTCCCACAGCCCTTTCCCTCCCCATGGATTCTGTACTTTCCCTCCCCATGGATTCTGCTTTCTGGACATTTCATATAAACAAGAGCAGGTAATGTGTGACCTTCTGTGTCTGGTTTCTTTCACTGAGCATGTTTTCACGGTTCATCCATGTGATAGCATGTTTCAGCCCTTCCTTCATCCCTATGCTGAATCATATTCCACCTCATGGGGGACCACATTTTGTTTCTCCATCCGATGGTTGATGTTTATTTGGGTTATCAACCCTTTTTGGGTACTGAGTGTGGGGGTCTGTGGGCCACGGAGGGGAGGGAAGGGAGTGGTGTCTGAGATAGGGGGAGTGGCGTACACAGATGCCATGCGGCTGAGATGAGCTTGGGCGATCTGAAGAACCCCAGCAAGGAGGCAGGGTGTTCAGGGGTGGCTGTGGAGCTGCCATGAACGTTCAGGCACAAGCCTCTTTGTGGATGTCAGTTTCATTCTTCCCGTCCAGCTTCCTCTTGAGCCTCTTCACAACAGATTTTCTATTCAGCTCGTTGGGAGACGCACTTTAGAAGAAGATCGCTTCCATTGTGAAAATACCTACGGAAAGACAGGACTCCTGCCGCACACAACTGCATCTGGCCAATCCTGCTTCTGACACGTCTATTCCACAAAATAAAACAGACTCAACCAATGACACGGAGTGCGTGATCTTCCTGTGCAAGCGAAATGAATGCAGCGACCTCATGGGTCTCAGTAACCTCTTGGAAATGGGAGTTTATGTCCCTCTCAGAGATGAACAAAAGGGCTCAAGCCCAGAATATCCTGTTTCCCATCACTCTGAAACAGCTGCAATCCAAGACATTGGACACAAGGCAGATTTCTGCGAAGCACATTCTATTTTCCCACTAGTACAAAAATATCAAACCTGACACACAAGCCCACGAGGAACAGAGGTAAAAATAAATTAAAGGGCGGTTTGCAGGGAGAGGTGCATGGCCCAGTGGCATCTGGTCTTGTCAACGCCACCTCTCAAGGTCAAGGGCTCAGTACCAGCTATCCTGCTTCAGCCCAGGGCTCTTTCTGCGAGGTGGGTGGCAGGGGCAGGGAGAGTACTGGCCTGGGAATCACCGGAACCCCTCAGTTCCCAAGGAGCTGCCTCACACTACCTTCCATGGGCCACAGACCCCCACATTCACTGGATGCCTGCCCTCCTCCCTCACTCCTCTGCAGACTCCCTTGGGGAATCATCTCCGACTCCCCTGGCCCTCACATGGCGCATTTCTGAGGGCCCTGGACAGCTCCTGTTCTCCCTCCCCACTCCCTTCCTAGGAGGCCTGTTTATGCCCTCTTGTTCATCCCTCACCCAGGATCCCCTAAGCACAGGGCCCGCCTCCCCATGCTCCTCCCGCTCGGGAGTTCCATGGAAGCCTCTAACAGGACTCGCCACACTCCAGGCCTGCTCCTTCCCAGGGAAGGCAGGAAGGAAGGAGGACCTCCATCCTCACCTCAGAGCCTGGCCTTCACCTTCTCACCCCACTTCTGTCCACTTCTCAACCAGCTCCACTTCCCCCATCTTCCTCTTCCCTCTGGGTCAGGGCCACAGCCATCCCTCAACACTCTGCCTCCTCGTTGGGGTTCTTCAAATGCCCAAGCTCATCTCTGCAGCAGGGCCTCTGCATACTCCCCCACCCCTCCTCTGCATACCCCACCCGCTTCTTCACTGCTTGAGCAGCACTCACTCCTCCAGAGCTCAGACCACCCCAGCACTCCAGGCAGCACCCCCATCACAGCTCCCAGTACCCCAGCACCCAGTCTCACCCTGTCCCACTAGCAATGGGAGCCAAGCTTTGAAAGGCTCTCCTCTGTTAGACTTCAAGGTCTATGAGGACAGGAGCTGTGACCAGCTCGTTTGTGGCTCTCCCCAGCACCAGCAACTTGCTCCCTGGCACCAGAGCTCTGTAAGGATGTGGTACATCAACAGTCTGATTCACTAGGCACTACTGCGGTCCAGGATAAAGACTGGAGAAGTCTAGTTTGCAGCTTAGTGATAACAAGAGTTTGAATTGTCATTCAATGTCAGTTTGAGATAATGACTTTGTGGTTTATGCACAGAAACGTTGTAGAGATGAGTCTAATGATGAAGGTGCCTGTGATAGATATTTTCATGTAATATGGATATGAGCCTTTTTTTGCAGGTGACAAACAGAACGAATGAGACCTCTGCCTTAAGGGCCTTACATTCTAATGAGACTCCAAGAGACACACGGATGCCCACAGTTTTGGGCTGTGATGATTGTTAGGAAGGAAAATAAAGCTGGATCCAGTGGAGAAAGCAGATGAACACACCTGCACAGGTGATCGAGGCCGATGCCAGTTGCAAAGGTGTGCACATGGGTGTGCCCCAATACAGGCTGAAATGGCACTTCACCCCTGCAGCCTTTCTCTCTGGAGTGATAACCTGGATCGAATCATGAAGAAAGCATCAGACAAACCCCAACAGAGGGACAGTCTACAAATGCTCTTAGCTATATGCCTCCCAAGTGTCCAGGTCATCAGAAACAAGGAAAGTCTGAGAAAGTGTCAGAGCCCAGAGAAGCCTCAGGACTGAATGCAATATGGTGCCCTGGGAGGAAACCTGAGACTGCCAAAGGAGAGCGGCGACACCCAGGAGACCCAAGTAAAGCCCCGGCCTTAGTAACAATGTATCTGTGCTGGGGCAGGGCCTTTGTTAGTAAGGATGTATCTGTGTTGATTCAGGGCCTTAGTTGGTAACAATGTATCTGTGTTGATACAGGAATTGTAACAACCACAGCTGGTGTAAGCAGCAGGAAAAGGTGTGTGGGGCATATGGAGCCCCCGGTGGAGGCAAGGGGTGCAGAGGAAGATGCTGCCCCTGAGGTTGGGGGTATCTAGGCTGAAGGAAGTGGGTCAGTGGTCAGAGGTTTTACGACCCTGTGCTTTGAGCAAAGGGGCATGAGGTGAAAATCGCTGGTACAGCCCTGTGGCTGCAGGACTGGGGAAGGAAGAGAGGGGAAGGTCTGGAAGCAGCACTGAGGAAGTGGGGGCAACATCTGCCCCCGCCCCAGGCCCTGACACTCATGGGGCAGGGAGTAGGAGGACACCTGCCCGCTCCCCAGGTCCTGATGCCCATGGAGCAAGGCAGAGACCCCCTCAGCCATCCTGACCTTGTCACCTCCTCTCCCTAGGCCTTGGTGACACAGCCACAAACCACGGATTTGGCAGAATGGCAAAGCAAACCTGCCCCTACCCACATCTCCCTCCACCCACCAGCCACCAGGACAGCTCCTCCCAACCTCGTCCTTGGGTCCCTCAACTCCACTGCGATCCCGGATTTATGACCCTGTCCTTTGCTAAAGGATTTTATGGTGATTACTTGACCTGGGTGATGGTATTACACAAACCCCATCCTTGGGCCCCTCAACTCCACTGCGATCCCGGATTTATGACCCTGTCCTTTGCTGAAGGATTTTATGGTGATTACTTGACCTGGGTGATGGTATTACACAAACCCCATCCTTGGGCCCCTCAACTCCACTGCGATCCAGGATTTACGACCCTGTCCTTTGCTGAAAGGACTGTACGGTGATTATCTGACCTGGGTGATGGTGTCACACACAACTCCACAATATCACTAAGCCTCTTCCTGACAGGCTGCAGGAGACAAAGGTCACTGTGTCCTCTGCCCTCAGGCTGGAAGGGGGAGGCAGACAGAGAGAAAATATAAGTCAGGTTGATCTCAAAGACATGAGGATCATCCAGCCCAGAGCACGTGGAGAGCCAGGGAGGAAAAGCTGAGCAGAAAGGGGTGCACACAGGGCAGGGGGAGGCTGGGCGGGCAGAAGAGGCTGGGTACCCAGCAGAGGATGGAAGACCGAGCTGAAGCTCCACCTGGGCTGGAGCAATCCTTCCACCTCAGCACCCTGAGCAGTTGGAACTACAGGCAGGCACCACCACACCTAGCTAATTTTTGTAAAAAGTGGGGAGTTTCACTATATTGCCC